AGGCTATTTAAGTCAAGCAAAAGTTGCAGTGAGAGGCTCACCAGGCAATTAAGCCATTCTGGACGAAAACAGTGGAAATTATATGAATAATTGAATGATACTCAAAAATGAATGAATGAATTAATGAATGAATGAATGAATTAATGAATGAATGAATGAACCTTCCGGAGAATTGCATGATTTTCCTTCCATGTGTTTTTTAAAGTTTCTCACAAAATTCCTCATCTAGGTAAAAGGATAAATTGGCCAATAAAAGAGTACATTCTCATTGAAATGTCAATGCTTTGTTGAAAGACATGGCCACCAAATCCCATGAATATGTTGTCAAGCAAATATTCAAATATACTGACGATGTTATCATCTGTGTGTACATGTTTATCATTAAAAATATTTAAATCGGAGTGGAAATATATAATATTGTATTTCATGAATAATGAATTTCATGTTGAGATGTTGAGCGAGGTATGGTATTATTTTACAGCGTTACTGAATTTCAAAGTTGTTATAAAATAAACTCAAACAAACCACATATTTTGTTTAATCTGCAATTATTATTTATTTTCAACGTTTATGTTTATTGATTATTTGTTATATTACTCCACGTGCAATGAGTGGCATTTGATTTTTAAATGCAACCAGTCTATCTCTCTTTGGGACTTGTGTCTCCGTGCTTCCAAAAACAATGAATACAAGATGAATTTTCTCACTCCAGCTATTTCTTTTTTTCTCTTGATCTTAGTGATAACCTTGTTTCATTTAATGTACGTAACTATTTATACCACATTTCCCATAATTATATAACCCATTTACTCTCTAGTTTACCTAATACCGGATTCTGCCGTAAATTCGTCCTGGGCCGTTAAACGGCAGTTTGGGTTTTCAAAAAAATAAAATAGGACCAAGAAATCGCCCAGGTTGTTGTTTTTTAAATATTTTGGTGTCATTTTTCGGATATTTCAATCTTTCCTGACGCCTAAAATAGAGTCTATTTAAGTTTTTATTTCAAGAGTATGTTTATTGTGACTAGAGTGACATTGTTTCTACAATGAGCTGTTATCATTGTAAACAATGTTAAATTATTAAATTATTCTTCTAATGCTCGGATTAGCTTTTGAAAACAACTATATTTTGACTTGAAAAAAAAATCATCCCGTTTTCCCATCAAAATCCAAGACAAAATATCGTACTACAACATCGGCAAATCTCTTCCGCGTTGCGTTCAGTAACATTAACTTATTTAAATGAGCTATGGTAATTCGAACACGTTGGCATCATCCAGCATTTTGATTGGTTAATTAGCGATTTGACCTATTAGGTCATGCAAGAGAAGAACAACGGCGGATACTCGACAGCATCGATCGTTAAAATGCGACCGGAATCATTTGCCTACCATGAAAATAAGTTATTATAATCAATACTGAGTAATAATCAACAATTGTGAAACGCAGCATGACCGGATTGCGCAACCATGATCATTTGCTGCTACCGTGACGCAATGCAGTTGTGTTCGTTTTTATTTGAAACTTCGTTTAAAATATACTTACCAATAAAATTTAAAAAAATGTATTTGACGTACCAGGTTCTTTAATGTGATTTTTTTGGAGAAAAATGACACTGGGTGACATTGTAATGAAATTTTAGGCGGTCTACTTTTTAATTCAGCAAGAAAAACATGTATCAAATTTTAGATTAGCTTCTGCAATAGATTCTTTCGTCTTGGGTGGCCCAACTGCCGGCGTTCAAGTCCCCAAAAAATATTTGATGATCTTTTTATGAAATTGTTAACCCCAAATTTACGGCAGAATCCGGTATATTCCTAAACACCAACACTTACAATTAACCAACATAACCATGAAAAATATTGCACGATTCAATTAAAACCATCTCTGACGTCACATATTCAACACTAATTCTTTCGCTTCTGAAATCGGATGAAGAAAGGCATGATTTTCGTCATACCAAGGGACTTGATATTAGCGTCCTTGACGAGATATATATTGTAATGCTGCAGTAAATTTGCAAAGAAAAT